GTATTCTATTCAAACCTCGTATAGTGACGTAATGCATATACTCCATAGAACATTAGCTTCATGTACAGAGACCCCTTGAAAAATCAAATGAAAGTCCAACATAAATGCTGATCAATGTTAAAACGAGCGATACCCACCGAAATTAGCGCTAACAGGTGGTGTCGCAGTCACATGACACAAGTGGATGTTCGTATATATTGTGGAGCGGGGAAGCGGGCTCGTACTAAACCCTCCTTGGCTCCCGGGTTGGAACGTTCTACCTTTTGCACTCCTTGCCTCTGTGTTCATAGAAACGAGTACTCTCTCTTGACTAAATATAGGGAAAAGTTTGCTGTAAATTTACATCATTGGTGATAAGTGCTACGCATTGTAATCTCAAACCTGTTCTCATCCGAAAAAAATATTTCGTTCGTGAAGGAAGTCTGTGCCAATGAAAAGGTAACGAACACCGCCATCCTTTAACCGTCGCACCGCCCTCGCCGTCCCAGTGCACACTCGCATACCTGTTGAACAGCACCACGCTCCCGCATTTTCCAATTTCTTGTTTGCTACAAGAAACTGCTACTAAATTGTAAAAGGTCTCCCCAACAAGATGGGATTCTTCAGCCGATTCGCCTTGTTCGTTCTGAACTTCCTAGTGTTTGTAAGTATTTTTTTTTTTTTTTGAAACTACAAAATTAGCTGTGTTTGTCTTGTTCGTGTCTTTATAGTTGTGGAGGAAATGTAAACTGAACGGATTACAACTATTTTTATTATGACTGGAGCCCAGAAGAATTTAAACCAATTGAAAATGCTTGATTTACCAAACAAGATCTCTTGCATATTTAAAGGTCGTACCATGGCCTAGTTTTCGTTATATTTTAAAGTGTCCGTGGTTTGTTTCATCGGCGAAGGTTTAATGAGATCTCTTTGGCAGCAGGCTTGTGGTGCGCCTCCACTTGGAAGCCTATATTAAGTAAGTATTTGTCACTCTGTAAGGCAATAATTTGTTGCACGCGAGAGAGAGAATCAAAATTACTCTGATAAACTTTTCACCGAAGTACTGGATCGAGTGGCAACGACGACCGCATTGTCTTGTTTTACAAGTTACAAGTAGAAGTGACCACGCCTAGACCAATTATTATACGCTGCGTAGAACTACGACACAAATCGTGAACAAGCAAAATATGGCGCAACGTCCTGGCCTGATGCTTATCGCTGGTTATCTCTTATATCTATGTCATGCAAGCTTTTCAGGGCGCCACTATGGCGTAGTTATCGCCGTAAATATTTCCGGAATTGTAAATACTACAATGTCAAAATGCCAGGAGTGAATTATTCAGTTTGAAAGTTAAGGCAAAGCTTTACTAAGTGTAATTTACCTAGGTCTTCTGAAACGGCGTACCGATGATTTGTTTACTAGTAGAAAGTTATGTATCAAGCATGAAAAGTGCAAATATTTTTTTTATTGTATGCATACTTGCGCAGGTACAAACATACATTTTACACTGGCCGGTTTTTCTAATTATATTCACTTTCTTATACTGTGACCTCTTTTTATCAACAGGGAGTGGGCGTGGCCACAGTGGTACTCGCTTCAATTTTCATCTCCAAGAACGGCGAATATGGAAGCTTGCTTGCTAAGGGGACCTTCACCTTACCGATTTGTATCCTGATAGCCGGCCTTTGTATCCTCCTCCTGGGCTTCTTCGGCTGCTGCGGCGCCTTGAAAGAGAACTCCTGTATGCTTTACACGGTGAGTGCTGCTACTTGCTCGAGTCAGTGACCATTTTACCAATTTGCAAACGGTAGTCTTGCATCTATAGTGTTAAAACGAGCAGTCGCGACTTTATATGAATATAATCATTGTACTAATGGGAATTTGTTTCCAGTATTCGGCTATCGTCATGGTCCTGTTTATCGCCGAAGTGGTCTTGGGTATCCTGATCTTTGTCTACACCGATGAAGCTGAAGAAATCCTTACCAAAGGAATGGAAGGCGTCTTCAATGACTACGGGCAGCAAGATGAAGCTCTCACTAAATCTCTTGATTTGGCTCAACAAGAGGTAAATTTTAAGTTTACCTCGATAATTGTTCCAAAAATGTTCCATCACTTCGACCTTGAACAGAACCCCGTCTGTCTTTCAAAATTACTGCTTCCCTAAATGTTTATACATCTTGCAGCTTCACTGTTGCGGAATTCATGGATACCAGGATTGGAAGAACTTTACCTATGGAGAAGGAACCGGTAATGTGGCTATGGGTTGCTGCTTAAAGCAAACCGACAACTGCAACCAAGGAGTAGCAGATAAACCAGTATCAGAAGCAGAGGAAGTCATCTACACTCAGGGGTGCTATCAAGCTATCAAGGATGATCTGCAAAGTGTTGTGGTTGCTTTGGGAGTGACCACTTTAATTCTAGGTCTCGTTCAGGTAAGTTTTAATTTTTTACACGCGCAATTCTAACAAGTTACATTTACTACCTGAAATATACATCTTTAATTTTGTCCTTGATTGCATA